CCCCCCTTTTTTTTTATAACCCCCCCGGCCCCCCTTTTTTTTTTTTTTATAAACCCTTGGGATGAACAGGATGGCGTGGCTGTAATCTGCTCCAGAAAGGAGTTTTGTCTGTGATCAATTGTGTTCTAGATACGGAAACTTTCTTTTTAATTATGTTAATTAAAGTTATAGGCTTATATTGAAGCTGTGTTTGAGATCGCCATGTTGTAACTGGATGAAGTCTGTAAAATACAGCAATATTTGAGTGTATGATATGACCTGTAGCCTCTGAAAGAATTGTTTTATAAAAAAGAAAAATACAAAAAAAACATTCTGGCTCTTTATTTGTTTTGTTTATGGGAACTCCTCAGACCTGGATCCGAATGAAAGGGGTACACTGGGGGGACAATTTATTAATAGCTGAGAGCTTGCTGTTCAATAATCCCATAAAACAATTCTGTTGAGTCACCTTTGTGAATCCTGTAGCCTAAAATTGCAGCCACCGTAGAATGAGAAGCTGCATGGTCCATTTTCTCTGTAAGTATTGGGATTCATACATATTTACAGTTACAGTAACTTTTATTACTGCATATTTGCAGTACATGCTAACTTTTTGTTTTAGCTCTATTGGTCCTTTTAATAGTGCGGGACTAAAATGTGAAATATGTACATGGTCATGTGCTACACGTATCATAAAAAGCCATGTTGTCGTTTCCTAGTGCAGCCTGCCGGTTGACTTAGGACCGTTGACCTGTCTGAGGCACCAAGTGCCTCATGTCTCAGGAATGATACTATGGAATTTAGGGATTGCAATATCACGTATATGGAGTGTTTTGCTAAATTGCTCAGTGTGAAAAATGTAAAAAAGAATTTAGCCCATTCAAAGCTAATATTTCAGTTTTGTTCATCTGGAACTGTGGCACCAATATCTTCCTTTTTCATTTCCTGACTCGTCTTCTGCGTTCTTCAAGATATACAGTAGATGGAAAAATCTATATTGGAACGGGTGACCTTGTTATGGTTGCTGCAGAAGGGCAGAGTTGAGAACCAAACACCAATGCTGGCATGTATTGAAGACTGAAATATTAGTTTTGGGACCCTAACTGTTGCAGGTTTGACCATTACAACAAATACATGAACCAGAGGAAAAAAACATCTTATTTATGAATGGCATGTTTTCCTGATCGATCTTTTGCTCCGTTGCTTTAAGACTGTTGATGAAATGTAGTTGTTTGTTTTGTTGCTTTTGAGAATTGTATGCGATGTAGTGTATTGGTTTTGTGAGCTTGTTTTGTAACTGTGCGGTCGTTCTGTGAATTTGTGGTGTAAAATTCAGCCTCAATTGGCCATACGTTTAAATAGAAAATAAAAATTATTTTCCTTTTATACACCGGATTTTACTTTTCATTAGAGCCTGTGTTTGATGTTTTGACAATGTCTTTACTCTCAAATAGTTGCTGCTACAATGTCCTGTTAAAGGAAATTCCACTTAATTGGAGATGCTTTAAATGAATGTGAATCTGGGTTTCAGTATTGCTCATTTACATACCCCCATTGTGGTGACTCGATGTTGGCAAGCTTGTCACACAGATGTTTTGACCCGAGTCTTTCTGCATGTTCTCTCTTTAGATGTGTCCAAGACATCTTCTGGGCTTCTATGACTCTGGGTTCACACCTAGGCGTATCGAATATGCGCGTTTTGTGACGCGCGTTTTTACTGCGATTCGCGTTAAAAACATGCGCGACAAACGCATTTCCGAGGGCTACCTGGCTGTGTCCCAATGGATACACGTGGCAAATACGCTTCAAAGAAGCTCCTGCACTTTCTTCAAGCTTCCCTGTTGGTTCTAAATGTGATGGACAGTGTCACTGACCAATAATAAGGTTCAAGAGGCAGGAGAGGTGTGACCAACCTATTTATTCATTATGCTGAATTTGAATTGCCCATGTTTACGAAAATCATCAAGAGAGAAATACAAGAGCCTCCATTGCTAACCACCTTCTGAAAATGTTAGTTGACTGGTGGTTATGATCACAACCTGGCTTTAGTTCTTTCTGAGGCCCTGACCCAGGATATGTTTGGATCATGATGGTTAGAGAAAAGCCATATGGCCCAGCTGTGTAACTTTTCTAGGTTATGGCCTAAAGAAAAAAAAAAAAGAAGGATTGGAGGCAAGCCAGTGATTTAGCACTTTCAGGAGATATGAACAATGTCAGCCTTTATGATCTCTCTAAAGACCCGGCACGTACAGAAAAAATACCCGTTGATCTACCAGAAATTAACTCCACTATTAAGCCCTGTTGTGGGCTGACAACACGCAGCTTTTTGTAGACTGAATGGTATCAGCCCTCCAATTTGTCTTTTGCTAAACTACTCAGTCACTCCCACGCTCCGATCTTTACAACCTAAAGGCTAATCATTCTGAAGTCCATGATAAGAACTAGGAAGGCCATGTGAGATAACACACAAAGTGCACACAGGACAGCTTTGAATTTTTAGGAAGGAGTGAGAGCAAGGCACTAGACACAGTTTCCAAGCTGGCTGGTGGAGTGGCTATGTTTTGGCCCAATGGGCTAGGTTTGGCAGCTACCCACAAAAATGGGTCACCCAGTTTTTGAAATTTGTTTATAATTGAGCACCAGGGAGTGCCAAAACCACACTTTAAGAGTCCAGAACAATACTGTACTTTATTAATCATTCTTATTGGTTCCACAATTATCAGTACGATGACAAGAGATAGTCAATGCATTTTGGGATCTTAACAATTCCCCTTCATCGGGGCTTAAGTATATAATTGCACACACTTAAAAGGGCTCTCTCTGGCTGCAAAGCTGTCTATTCATCTACTGAATACCTGTTTTTTGGCTTTGATACATAAGCTCGAGTGTGTGCAAGCCTTGA